TGTTGATAGAATTGTTAAAGTTGTTATGACTGTTAGCTACAACTGCGGTAAGTGTGAGACTTAAAGCCATAGGGGATGCTAGAAATGGCAATTAATTTTAACTGTGTGCATGACTACCAGCTCTGTCTGTAGGATGGTACACTTAGGAGGATGTTTATTTGTGTAGAGAAACCAAAATATAAATATAAGTAACTATCTATTAAGAAAGAATAAAACCATCGTGAACTGAATTTGCATATAAATATTTTGTGTACATTTTTGCCTGCACCAAATTATTAAATCTTTATGCATTGCTAAATATTTGCTGAAAAGCATGAACAGATCATTTCTCTGTGTATGTTTGCAATCTGCAGTTTATAAGGATGAGTGAAGACCTGATTAGCGACGTTTTACTGTATAACTATAGATCAGTGTAGGAGTATGAAGGAAGACAAAGGCCTCAACTCAAACTGCAAAATATAGTAACAATTGCTTCTTTTTTCATGACACTTTCATTACTACTTAGCTTTAAAAACCTATGTAAAATGTGGACCTATTTTCCAATGCAAATGTCTTGAGTCTGACATGTTTCTAATACTTTTTGGATGACTAGTACTGGAACAAAAAAGTAGAGGGGCTGGGTTTATTGGAAAGGACTGAGAAATAGCTATGAAGGGTCAAAAATTAGACTGACTGCAGGAAAATTATATTCAACAACACCCAGTGACTGCACTGAAATGATTCTTCATGGGGCTAAATTTAAAATAGATTTTTTAAGACTAAGGATATAGCTACAGAAGGGTAAGAATGAGTGCAGGAAAATTATCTTCAGCAATGAGCAATGATTGCATTGGAAAACAATTCATTGTAACACTTAGTTTTAAAAATAACTTTTTGTACCTTTAATTTAAGATGGAGAGGCTACTGAATGTCTTCTGTGAAATTAAATATTTGGGTCATGAAATCATTGAGTGTCTCTGCCATTGCTTTAAAAAAGGATAAGAGCTTTCCTTCCAGGCCCAAATTTCCATGTATAATCTATTTAGCATTCAGTGATACCTCATTATCATCACAGGCTAAATGCAGCAGAATGGTCTAGTAGCTTCGTTGGCATTATTCTACTCCATGATTCCTGACCTTAAACTTAATTCAGCTTAGCATTGTTACTGTCTTTTTCAAATTAGGTTGATGTCCTTGCCTTTCTACTTCTTCCAGCACTGATTTATATCTGTATAGTAAAACATTGCAAACACACACAAATCTGATCTCTCCATGCCTCTCAATGAAGAATTAGTAATAAATATGGTACCAAGTCTTCAGAGAAAAAAAGAAACAGAACTTGTGTAGATTATTGTAAATGTTATTAAAAGTTAAATAATGAGTTGAGAATTGCACAAATAATAGTCTGTGGCACCATCCCTTTTTTAAAGTTTCTTTTTATTTCTACAAAGCTATAAAATTCAGAGACTCTAAAGTTATCATTCAGTCCTTAATGCAAAATAATAAAACTCTGCCACTTTGAAAAACATGCTGGCATATATTTTGCTTTTATTTTTCAAATTAACTTGTCTTCTCTTCCATCTTACAGAAAAAAATAATGGGAAGATCCTATTAATATGAAAACTATCTCACAATAAAAACAGAGAGTACTCTTTTCTATAAGTAAAATGAGAAAAAATACCTTTCATTTCTGATTTATCTTATTATTCATTATTAATTTATCTGATTAAAATATTTTTTCGTAAGGGGTTTTAGTTGTTTATGACCCACCTATCAGTTTTGACACATACATAAGCCATAAATTGAATGTAAGTATTTATTTATGAAATGAAAGTGCTTCAAAATTGTTTTAATGCACAGAGTAATGAGGCCCAAGACTGTAAAAAGAGCTATGACCACCAAGGAATTCTATCAGGACTCATTTTATAATGAGTAAATTTGCACTAATTTTCCATGGAAGGAGAGTATGAGTATTAACTTTTGGTCTGTGTTGGAAATGTGTATCTTTCAATTTGCCAATTTAATTACAAACAGAAAATTCATTGAGTTCCTTCCAAGATAGATATTTGTTTGAACAGATAGCTATTTTTTAAAAAGAAATATTTTCAAATTGTCAAATCATTTAGAGTATGAAATGTATGCTGTTGAACTATATGTCAGTCTAAAACTAGGATATAGCTTTCTTAGAACTAGGAAAGGTAGTGTGTTTCATAATGTTTTTTCCTGTTATATTTCTCAGGTTGGATCTGGTTATTTTTGCAAAGTACATGGAAGCTTTTTAAGTCCATCTCTACTAAAAGTCATGCTTAAAAAGAAACAGATGTATTTTAATATCTTTTTGAGTGAACATAGAGTCAAATGCTTTACTGACATTTTGCATCTACCAATATTTTCTTTTAGATTTCAAACTATTGAAAAACATTAAACACAGGCTGCATTTTGATGCTAATAACTTTCCAAAGTACTTACAGTTATTCATGCTTACTTGCATTACTCATTATATTTGGTGGAGGATTTTTAATTTGTAAGAAAAATAATGTATTACTTATAAGGAGGGGGGAAATATCAGTTCAGTAAAACTGTTTTGAATAAAAACAATCACAAATTTAAAATTGCTTATTAATTTAAATTAGAATTAGTTCCAGAAGGGAAGAGTAAAATAAAGAGAAAAAATGGAGACATGATAGACAGATACTTTGTAGGTAAAGGAAGAATAATACCCAATCAAATTTAATGCTAGTGGTTCAGGTGGTAAAGGGAAGGATTCCTCATTTATTCTTCTTATTTAACCATAGTTCAGCTATTCAGAAAAAAAAAAAAAAAAAAAAAAAAAAAATGAAAAGTGTGATTCACCCTACACTGATATCTAAAACATGTGTGATAATTAGTGGTCTAGAAGCTCTTATTGACTATGGACACCTGGGAAATGTAGAAAAAGTACTTAAATGTAAACACTGACTTAGCTGACAACTCTAACTAGATGAAATGAACCCATGCTTAATGTCACCATGTGGTTGCTTAGGAGGAAGGGCGTGTCTGTACTGAAATGTGAATGTCTGAATGGATGGAGGGAAAGAACGGGGCGACTTTCTGAAAACAGTGGTACAGTGACCAAAAATAAATCATTTGAAGAAGTTATAAACAAACTATTATGTAAACAAGTCTAAATTGTGGCATTATTTTCAATATAAGAATGTGATTGTTTTGAAATAAAAAGTAATGTTTGGTTAGCTTTCCATGTTTTGTGTCCATTCATTACTCTTACTTGCCTTCACAATCAGCAAACTTTTGGGTCCATATAAAAAAGAGGGTTCGCAGAATTTGAAGCTAGACAGAGATGTTATTATATATATAAATAATATACTTTGGTTTCACCAATTATCTTCAACAGTTTTAACCTAAAGGTTGCTAAACCTTTATCCCTTGTGTGTCAGAACTACACTTCAGGAACAGGTTCTCAGCTTTTTCTCCTCCTTCAGTGACAGCAAAGACAGAAATTTCATACATCCCACTCTCAGACAGCACCGGGTAAATCCTCATAGACAACTGAACATATATGGTGAAAGCCTGGGGAAAGCCAGTCCCCATTTTCTGTACAAACAAGATCCTAATAAAGATGGTTTTGCCAGCTCCTTCACTAAAACCAGGCAAAATAAGTGATAAAGAACTGAGGGTAATATTTTTCAGATCCCTCTTCTCTCTCCCACCAAGTCGCAGAAAATTCAGAAAGATCCAGAAAGACATTTCTGTTCATAATCACTGTAAAAGGATGCTGTGTAGTCTCCTTCTTTCCCTGAGCTATTTTACTTGCAAGACGACAGATACCTTGTGAGAATAATGTTTATCTCCAAAATATTTTGTTTATTAATAAGCAGAAAGGTTTTACCTTAATTGTTTGCCCATTCTGGTCCTTACGTGTTTAGAAAGAGAAACAACAGGGGGAAAGGAAAAAA